ACTGCCTGGACTAGTCACTGCAGTTTTCTTGACTATGTTTTCAGAAGTGATTTGCCATTATCTAATACTGAGAGAGAGAGAGAGAGAGAGAGAGAGAGAGAGTGATTGGCTCAGAGTCACCCATCTGGCTTGGTGCCTACCGCAGAACTAGAACTCCTGGTCTCCCAGTTTCTAGTCTGGTGCATTAACCACTACACCAAACTGGCTTTCAACCTTAATTGTAAGCTGGCAATGATTCCAGACATATTGCACTAAATTAAATGAGGTAGATCTAGTATGTGCAACCACAAGACAGAAATTTTCCATAAGGTGTTGACACTCAAATTCTCTGCTGCAGTCAGTAGAGACTTTGCTACACTGAGGAGCAACAATAGAAAATTGCGATTTGGGTGATGCTCACACACCTGAGGATGGCTGGACTTGCAGAAGCCTCACTCTGGACAACTGCATGGCAGCTTTTCCAATACCACGGACGTTGTGCATCCCTCCTGCTGCTGTTATCTTGTGCTCAGAACTGCTTTCCAGGGGATGCCGGCGAGAGACGTTGTTTTTTGGGCACGGGAGCTGTCGGGGCAAGAGACAGACACACAGGTTGAGAGGGCATTTCAGGGATAGGGAATCTCTTTTACCCCATCATGAATTATTAAGGCACATCTGCAAAGAAGATTTGAGTGGGAGGATTTAGGAGGGTCCAGCCTGCAACAGAGACAGAGTATCTGCTGGAGTCTGTGGCAGTCATGTACTCTGAAAGACCAGATTTCTGATTTGGTATATAGAGGAGAAGATGCCACACCTGATTGGTGGACTTTTCTTGTACAGAAGGCATTCCTGATCTGCTTCCCTCCAGACTGCCACTTCCATAGCCCCTATCCAGTGTGATCTTGCTAACTAAGGACTGTGAGAGTTGTACTTTTAAGAACTCTGGTAGGAACTGGGTTGAGAGGAAGTTATTATATAATTCCTGTGCTTCTGATTTCACACCACAATGCTTTCAGCAGCATTCAGACTTGCCATTTATACTTTCCAAAGTTCCCTATGCTGATCTCAGTAGAACTGTTAGCCAAGGAAGGTACAACAATTTATTGCACTAATAATTCATTAATGTCTGGAAACTCAGAGCTGTGGGGGATTTCACATGAGCCTTTTCTGCCTGCCTTTAGGAGAAAACATAGGAAGCCCTCCTATCTCCTTGGAAGTCCATGTAGGAGTTCATGAGGAGAAATAATTAGGCTAGGGCACTGGATAGCATCACAGTAGCAGAATGAGGGTTCACTCAAAGGCTTCCTAAGAGGACCCTGAAGATGGCAGCAGAAACTCAGCCCTGGCACTCTGATGGTGACCTTGCAGCCTTCTAGTAAAATCCTAC